GTGCTGTGGAGTAGTTTGTAACAGTCTCTCCTGACACTATGTATGAATTAGCACTTGGCCTCAGGGTACTAACAACCCAAAATACCACAGGTCAAGAGTTTGCACCCTGACACATGCAGAGGAGCTACTTGTCTCTTGGCAAAGCCACAATCTGCTTGGAAAACTCTTTAGACCTTTCCCCCCAGGTGCCCTTGGCCTGTGCTACTGCTGGTCAATTACCTCCTTTTAGCTGTCTGTGAATGGTTTTAGCTGCAGGCAGCTAGCTGTCCAGTCTTCTGTTGCTGTTCATATGCTTTGCCTACCTCTGCATCTAATTGTGGCTGCAGAGCTGGTGTTTGGTTATTTTGTCTATATCTGCCCATTTGATCAGCTGTGTTTGTAATGTGAAGCAGGGCAGATGTTAATTATGCAGAATTGTTTCCACTAAGGTCAGTTTTTTGTTACTGATTCAGACTCTTCTGTAGTTCTGACACAGCTTGCTTTATGCAGCAGTGTTGCACTGACCTGAAGCCTTGGAGGGTTTATGGTGTGCTTCTTGAGACCAGTGCCTGGTGTTCAGCTCAGACCGTCCCCTGCTGCAGCATAGTCCTTGCTGACGGCCACAGCTTGTCTGGTCCAAACTGTGTGCAGAAATCTGGGAAAGTCTGGGTGGTCAGTGAAGGATTAGCTCGCTCCATCTGCTATTACTTTTTATGCTGCTCTTCTCACAAACCCAGGCAAGAGGCATGGGTGGATGTGACTGCACCTGCAACAGCAAGGAAGCGAATCCTCACTGCCCCTGTTTCTAGGAAAGACACTTCCTGTAAAAAGAACCAAGCACATCTTGAGATGCACATTTGTGCCCACGTCAGGTTTTGTCTTGTCCCAGACCTTGTTCTGTTTACTCTGAACACTGATGGACTACCCAAGCCCCTTCACCAGAGGCCCAGCTCTACACCCTGGTGCCTTGGCTGGCCACCAAAGCGCAGCATGGGCTACCAGCCTCAGCAAATCAGAGGAGAAAGTGAAAGCCTAGGAATGGTAGCCCGTTTGTGCTTGTGAGCAGTTCTAGGTTGTAATCCCCTGGGGACAACCTTGCCCCATTAAAAGGTGAATAATATTACAGAGCACTTTGTGCCAGCAGTCATATTTAAAAAGGCAATTGTGCAAGGCTTCACATTAAGAGGCAGAAATGGTGTTTGAGGAGGCAGCAGTTGTGTTTAGGTGTTTCCAGAGGTCTCGTTCCCTTAGCGTGGGCTCACAGGAAGAATACTCCTTTAGCACTGTCTAACCTGTGGTCTCAAAGCCCTAAGTACAATCTATGGACCTGCTACTAGCATTGTGTCTCTCCTTAACTCTCCTTGGTCCTAACTCAACCCCTGTGCTTGCCTGGGCTTCCCGCCCTGCGTCCTTCCTCATGTTCAGCTCCTCTGAGACAGGTCAGCCTTGGCTTGTGAGTTTTCTAGTCCTCAGGCTCCTGCTTCCTAGTGCGGTGATGAGCAGAGTGAGTCCCTTCCACACAGCACAAGTGTTGGCAGGGTATGTTTTGCCCTGGGATGCTGAACAGCTGCCACCAAGTGAGCTCACTGCTTGGCACCTTAATGGGGAGACATGCCTTCAGCCTCCACTCTGCTTGTACAGGTTGCTTGCTCTTTACATCCTTCCTCATCAGCTTAGAGAACAAAAAGCAAAGAAGCTCTCTGAACCTCCCTGGCCTTAGAGCATACAGTGCTGCAAATGGCAAATGATAAATCTTTCTGCAGCTGCCCCTTTCTGGCTTGATACAAACTCCCCTTCTCACAGTCCTCAGTGGGTGTTACTCCATTTGCTTTACTTGGTGGAGTACCACATCGCTGGAAACAAGCATTCCTGGGGCTGGTCTGGATCCCTTGGGCAATAATAACCAACAGTCAGCTCAGAGAACAACTCTACGGTTGAAGTTACGGATGTTGCTGGGAACAGTCTAATAAGTTAAACCTTCTCAACCAGTTATTGTGGGAGGTAGATTTTTGGATTTTGTGTCATACTTTCCCATTTTGGTACTTGAATATGAAAACTAAATTCCTATTCTTTCTGCTAGCCTTATGGTAGTGGGAGTGATTGCACTTTTCTAAGCATACTCCAGCTCTCTTGCTCTCTGTGTAGTGGAGTGAACAGGCAATTGCTGTGACTCAAACTGGCTGATGAAATATAAGTGGTATCTAAAAGCCACAGACTCATTATCTATCATTACTGGTAACCATTTGTGGTAGAAAAGGAGATGACTTTTGAAGGTACATGAATGTATTTTAGATTACATGCTTCCCATCATTTCCTCTTACATGCTTTTAACAAGAAGCAGCTCCCATCTCTGCACTGCCTTCAGTAGTTTCTTCTCTGCTGGAGAGCAAGAGCCTCGTATCTCTGATGGGTGCAGTGAGGCCAGCCTCTTCCCCAGAGTGACTGTGGCACCAACATCAACTTTGTCACCCTGTCCCTTGTTTATGTAAGTGGGGAGGTGGGAAAGAGGAGAACGGAAGAAATCCATAGTAGCCACCTCTGTAGTTTAGGCAGCAGTGTGTGTTAAAGACAAGACAGCAGTGGCAAAGATTGCTTTAAGATCATGGAGTCAGTAATCCCCAGATGATTACTGTATTCTGTGAAATGGTCTCATTAAAAGCCCTGTAAGGGTCAGACCATGAGGCCCCATTTCAGTAGCGGTAAGCACAGGAAGGGGAACATGGTGTCCCTGTAGAGTTAAGGATTGTCTCCAGAAACTGTCTAGTCCAGCCCCACTTCAACACCCTGCAATTAGCATCAGGGAGTGACCTAAAACCTCAGTGCCCTGACCTGGTTGAACAGAGCTGTAAGATGTGACTTTAGCACCATCTATGAGCTTCTACAAGGCCTTAATCCCAATAACAAAAATTCATGTTTCTTATACCAAAGAGACTTTTAACTTTGTTAAAAGGAGGAAGGAGTCACCAGATATAAACAGAAGCTGATGGTATGGAAACTTACAGGTGACAGTTGTTAGTCCCTCAAGTAACTAATCTCAGGAATTTAATTGTTTCAACCTTTATTTCAAGACATGCATATACATGTATATATGTAGGTCAGTCTAGTTCAGCCTGAAACAGCAGAGGAATCAGTGTGTGAAATGCACTTTCGTGCTCTAAACAAGAAGAAAGGGTGCACCCTTCTGAGGTACAAATCCATTTGTGCTGTTTAGGCTTAACTATTCTTGCTGTGCACCCGTGTCCACACTGCTGACAGCCTGCTCTGTTCACATTGAGAAGCACAAACACCCCATACACCTGGGGAGAGCTGAAACTGTAGCTGAACTGTAAAAAAAGAAAATATGTGAAAATTTCATATAGTTTTCATACGAGTGAAAATGTTTACTCAAACCCAGTGAATGTGTAGTTCACCAGTCCCTGCAAGTCCAGACGTTACAAAGAAGTTTTATCAGATTTTAGGAGGGGAAACACATTCTTACTTCAGCAGGGGAGTGTGACAATCCCCAGCTTGGGGGCAGGATGCAACTGCCTTTAATGCCACTGGTGGGCAGAATGGCCAGAGGTAAAAGCCCAAAATGCCCCTTGTAGCTGGGAAGAAACATCCTGTAGGTGCAAGTCAGCCCACAGCTTCTCAGTCCTGAGAAAAAGCTGTTGCTTGGCACAGCATGAACACTGACTCAGTCAGTGGAGGTTTCCCCTCTGGCTGCTGCCTGGTCACAGGGAGGGATGTTCATAAAACCTGCCACCAATAGCGTAAAGCATGCAGAAAAGCTCACCAAGGCTTGGAAGATTGCCTTAGCTGCCTTTGGCACCTTATCCTGCAGGAGTGCTCAGCCAGGACTGGGTTGGCTGGGAGCTGAGGCGGGCAGGAGCAGGGTGCCTGCGCAGCAGGAACACCCCACTTCGCAGCATCGGGAGCATCTGCAAAGAGGAGCTTAGTGCTGACAACCCAAAGCCTGAGCCTTCCCCAGTGTTTCTAAGAAATCCGAAGTAATGTTCTGATGCCTATAGTATAAATACATTTTTTACATTATAAATACTTTTTACAAAATACTTTGGATTGTCCAGCCAGCAGCGAGATACTGAAATGTTGCTGGAGTTCACTGGGAGCCAGGTAGTCAATTTGAAATCTGCCCCACTTCAACCAAAAATAGAAGCCACTGGCAGTGCTCAGCTCATGTGCTCGCTGCAGCACAGGGCAGAGCAGGTTTTGTCCTCAGCAGCCACAAGCACTAACAAGAGCTGTGCAGCGCAAAATCAATGACAGCAGTGTGACTTCCACAGAAGCTAAGGCAGGGTGCATGTGGGTTCACAGGCACATCACGGAGGTTGTTTTTATGTGCCTGGATCACTTTTGGGTCAAGCCAGCCTGTGTGTGTGCGTGCTCAAAGGAGATTCTTCTTCAGTCTAACAGCTCTGAGAGCTGGTTTCAAGATGTAAATGTCCCACCAGAAGTCCCTCGTGTCAGGTTTCAGTAGTCTGCATAGCTGGGACAGCCAGTGGGCCTCCGCTCTTAAAAGCTGCTGCTAAAAGCCTCATAGTCACTGCAGGAACCGCATTTCTGCTGTCCAGTGCAGTCCTGTCAGGTCATTTCAAAATACCTTCCATTCATGGCCTTTACCTGTCAGAGGATTTATCTGGATGACTGCAAAGGAACTCCCTTGCTGCCTCTTGCCTGTCTCTTGCCTTGCCAGGCAAAGAGATGTTGAGCAGATCTGTTCTCTTCCTTCTCCAAATGGCTTCAAGACACTTGAGGTATCTTCCTGATTTACCAGCCTTTTATTTTAGCAAATGTACAGTGCTTTTGTACTATATACAGATACTGTCAGGTAAACAGAAATGCAGGGTTTCTCTGAATATGAGCTAAGCATAGGTGACTTTCTTCAGCTTTCACTTCTGTTCTCCTCAAGGGCTCTGCACAGTCCTTTCTCCAGAGCTAGAAAGATCCATCCTGGGTAGCAAAACAGCTGCACATTGCTCCAAAGAGATGAGCACGGCATGCACTCTATAAACCCCATTTGCACTGCAGCTGAGGCTTTCTGCAGCCCTAATGAGGGAGGCTAGAGCTGTCTGCCTGTACAAGTAGAGCCAGTGAGACCAAGCCTCCCACAGGCAAACAGATTGGTAGGAAACGCTGTACTTTACATGTTAAATTTCGTATCTTCTCATCTTCTATGGCCGAAGATGAGAGCAATTGAAGGGACTTTGTAACACAAGGCTAAACGACAAATCCCTGATGGTGGCGCTGGAGTTGGTCCACAGGGTGATGTAATCTTCCTCAAACAAGAAGATCACCGTGGTGAGATTTACTTCATTGTCCCTTTTCTGTACCGTTTGCTCCCAGAGGGGCCTGCTGGTTTTCTTGCCTGTCTTCTGCAGTGTCAGCTTCCGCAAGTCCCCCTCTTCCAAGTCAGCAAAAAAGATAAAGCCCTTCAAGGACACTAAGTAGAGGCCATCACAGCTGATCATGATGGAACCATTTTTGATCTGAATAGTGCCTACATGAGTAGTGAAATTCATGGCTACTCCTTTGATGCTTTCTCCTGGAACATAAGAAAGTAAAGATGGTCCCATGATGACAAATGCCTTCTTGGAAATAGGTTGTTTTGTACAGACTGACTGCAGGAAGGGTGGAAAAATATAGGAAAGGAAGAGAATGAACTAGAGAATAGGGCAGACCAAAGCTGAAGTATCATCTGCTCTAAACAGGCATCATCTACAGTGGAAATTTCCAGGTTCCCACTCCTGAGCAAGCTGGGCTCTTCAGACTACAACTCCAGTTTATACGAATTATTCCTCCAAGTTTATATTAATGCATGTTTATTTACTGTATGTCTTAATTAAAATAATAATAAGTAAAGCATCTCTGTGAGTTTAGGAAGCACAGACTTAAAAAGAACTGAAAATAAAGTAAATAAGTAAATAAACAGTAAGTAAGAACAGTGGCAAGAGTTCAGAACTGGAAGGATCGCTTTCTGTGGCGATGCCGGTAACATAACACAACGAACATTTCTCTGGGTTTGGTTGCTTTGTTGTTTTTTTTTAATGGAAGACAGGATAAAGAGAAATGTAGAGACAGAAATGGAAGAAACAAATGGATACAGAGCAGAGTCAGGAGAAATTAAACCAAACTTAGCATGAAAGGTTTTCTCTCTCTTGGAACTATCAGTAACAGTTCCCAGGGCTACGCTGGAAATGTTTCCCTGCTGTGCTCCTGGGCTTTCAGCTGAAACCCCAAGGGCCAGAGGACCAGAAGGTCTCCTGGTGAGCAGCACAGCCCCTCCGAGCTGAGAGCAAATTTCACTAAGAACCTGGGATTCTATTAGGTTAGACCCACTGGTACCTTCCAATATTAACAATATCGACATTTTTTTAGTACAATTTAAAAACTGTAGTATCTGCTTCTGTTGTAGAGGTGTGTCATCAGACAGAGCATCCCATACAGTCGCACACAGAGCACTGCTGTTTCTGCTACCATGTGTATGCTCGCTCACTCTTCCCAGGAAATCATTTACAACTTTCATAAACCAGGAAGTCATTTATTTGTGTCAGAAATACCCCAAAAGCACCCTGTGTGTGCTCAGAAAATTCTCAAAACTACTGTTCTTATTCTTTCCCAGAGTAAAGCTTGTTTCAGTAGGGAGGTAAGGACTGCAGAAATCCGCATGGATTTTCAGTCTTCTACTCTGGGAAAACCCTTCTGTTTGGTTCTGGCACCTTGCAGCACCAGGTCCCATTTAGCCCCTCTCCCCTGAGACAGCTCTCCTGACACCTTCCTCTATCAGAAGAAACAGCCTCTGCTGTGACGAAAAGCACTTAACAGCCTCCAGCATTTGAGGGGCAACCGGTGGTGCCTGGGGACTGCAGGTCAGTGTGGGGCAGAGCGGGAAGCCAGGAGCCACCCCAGGTACTGGGGAACCTTTCACAGGAAGTGCTCTGGGAGCCCTCGTGGATGCAGCCACCCACCTGTGTACCGGATGTGGGTCCACGGCAGTTTTTCCAAGTGAAGGTGACTCCAAGGCTGAAAAGAAAGAAGAGGAATCCCTGTTAGCGCACCATGCGAGCGACCCCTTGCCGCTGCCACTTTTGTTTCCTGACCAGAGCCATGCCTCTGTGTGCAGCCTCTCCTGGCACCTGCTTTGTGCTTGTTCTTATATCGTCATTATAAAGCATGATTTTAGAGGGGTTTGTAGCCAGCCCGACTTAGAGCCAGTGCTGAGCCCTCCAGAGCACATCAGGTAGTGTTGCTCCTGTTTGGAAAAACATCAAAGTGAACTACATCGATCCAGACCAAATAGCAAGGAAGGACCTTGGGGTGCAAAGCCTCTTCTGAATGACCCCCCTGAGTCTGACATACAGCCAGGGGTGCCTGTTTACAGAGCTGGGACCTAGATGTGTCCCTGTTCCCTCACCCTCCTCCAGCAGGGCACCAAGAGGTGGGTCTGGCTTCGTGATTCCTGTACTTTGGAACAGGCTGTTGCTGCGTGTGTGTCTCTTAGTGGATCCCTTAGAAGTGCACTAAGGCATTGAAAACTGATTTGCATTTTATAACAGAAAATGTGAATGCAAATACAGAAGTGCGTATCTTCCTGATCAGATACTCAAAACACCAAGCTTCTGAATTAGATTTCTTAAATCTGAACTTGCATCTCAAACCCATCTCTCATCTTAACCACAGGAGACCCAAGTCTGCAGTCTCTTCACAACCACAAGTCTTCAGCATTTTGCCTGATTAAAGAGTGAAAGATTTAGGGTTTGCTGCTCTGTGTTCTTCTCTTTACCTGTTTCATATGTTTCCTAAGTGAGAATACGAGCTAGTAAGATGTGTGTTGGGCTGACTTTCATGTATTTGGCCTCGTGTGTTACAGGAGCAGAGCAGTCCTTTCACTCTGAGTACTGGAAAAGTGTTGGAATAGATAGAGAGTGAGCACTGTCATGCAGCCCTGAAGGTTCAGTGCTGTGCCCCAGTAAATGCAAGCAGCAGGAGATGACTTTGGAATCGGGCTGCCTTGGGTCGGAGGGTGAGGTGGATGTGGGACGGTGGTGGTGGAAAAGGTCTGCTCTGGCACCCTCTAGTGTTCCCACAAGTGGTGCTCTGCAGCTTGCTCCACGGGCAAGGCTGGATTCAGCTACCAAATGAAAGTTTCTACTGCACGCTGGCTTTGGTGGAACTATCTCCTCAGCATTACTGGTGCTGTTCATTGCCTCAGCACCTTGAGTCTTACTCTTTTTCCAGTCATCTAAGTGCACGAGCATTTCACTCTGGCTCAGGCAGCCGGGATTTCCAGGTAGTTTCCCAGGAAGATGATAGCTAAGCACAGGGCTGCCAAGCTTCTGAGGTCAAACAACACCCACCACAACCTGTCCAATCTGGCCACTGATGGACACGGTGTATTAAACACAGGCAAGCTGGGTGACCAACTTGTAGTAATTTTAAGGATATCAGCCCCATTGTCAATAATGCACATAACTGGTTTACACATCTCTGCCAGTTACTGTGAGAGCTCAAAGCACTTTTCCATTGTCTACTGGTAAATTCTGCTAAGGAGAGAACATATTTGTAGGACTGGAAGGACACCTGTGAACTATTAATAAGGTTAGTTGCCCCTCTTTCCCTGTTCTGTCTTCTTATGGTATGCAGGAAAGGATGCCATGAGGGTCGAAGGCACAGAGGTGAGCCTTTCTGACTGAACAGTCCATTGAGATAATGCACGATGCCCTGTCAGTCACAGATTGCAGATGACTGCATTGGAAGCGGGTTGTACCTTTTTCACACCATGAGATATTAGGATTATGGGCATATCTTTCTTATCTACACCAAACCTCTACACGGTTACTCCTCCTGCACCTTTTCCTGCCCTGTTCACGCAAAACCACCCTGCAACAGATCATTAGAAGTTTCTGAAGTCCCAACACCTGCTCAAGGCTGTTACCTCCCATCGATTTGCCATTGGGGGAGATTTCACACCCCTGATAGTACCTGTGAGTGGCTTGCCATGCCTGATCTCGGCTGGTGTGGCAAGAAGAGGTAACTGCAGCACAGATGAGAGCTCACAAAGCCTTGCAGACACAAGAGCAGACTATCACTACCTTTTTTTAAACTTGCTGATTTGGAAATCACAGCTGAGGCTTGCTCACCAGGCAGCATCATGACACAGTCCAAATCACTGTCCCTTTTTGTTAAGCATGGTCTGGGCTCCCAACCTGCTGCTCTGATGCTGCTGTGCCCCTACTTCCATAAAGTCTATCACCGTAAACTGCCATGAGAGTCAAGTCAGATTAGTACTGCTGCCTCTTCTACAGACATGCATATGGTTGGTTCATGGTTGTCCTACTGAGCCCAGTAATTGCAGTGCAATGAGATACCCCTGCATACAGCCTGCAAGACTGCTCCTGCACAGCACAGTGCAGTCAAAACAGGACACCATGGTCATCTGCTTAAAATAGCAGAAACCAGTTCTGAGCCCACAGCTAGCAAGTGTTTACAATTACAAAGTCCAGGAACTGTAAACAGTCCCAGGGCTGGACTTTTCGTGTGCTGCAGTCAGTGCTCCTCAAGCACCCTCTTTTGGTTGTTTGTGTTGAGGAAGGGGAACTTCAGGCATGTCCCCTCCTCAGCTGCCGCTCTCTTGGATTTGTAATGCTTACAGGCAGCAATGCCAGCCCCTGCCATCTTCCTCTCAAAGGAAGATTTGAATTAACATTCTTAGAAAAGAGAGATAGAGCAGGATGAGGAATGACACACCAGGAGAGGTTTCTGCATCTTGAGCAGTCTGGTAGCTTGCCCTTCTCATTGGCTTCCAGTGCAACTTCTGGCTTCCAAAGTAGTAGAAGGAGGACTAAGCTGGAAGAAAAGTGCTATCTTTCAGGGTTATCTGGTCATCGTTCTGTAGATTAATAAGCACTGTGAGTTTCAGGTCAAGGAAACTTGTGCAGAACACAAGGGTTTTCATTAAACAGCAGAGGACCCAGAGCATGAGGCCATCCCTCCCTTGCACAGTTACATTTTTGGCTTGCTTCTCTGCCAACTCTAAGTGGGAGGAAAGAACAAACTCTGGTAAGACAAAAGACAAGCTTTAAAGTGGTATATAGCTCCTGAAGAAAATGTAGGAGAAGTAGCTAGTGCATAAGTGGCACTGAAATAGGAGCAAATGGTTGTTGTCAATCCAGCAGCCTGCAAACACATGAAAAAAGCAAATGTATTTGCTGCAGTTTTTGCTAAAGCATTTCAAGTTTCAAGTATCCTGCCTGTACATATAGTATATTTAAAAAATTCAGGGTATGTTTATGAGCAACCTGGTCATAAAATCCTGATTCTTCCACATGCACTTGTTGAAAGTAAGCCATCCACCCAGATTTCCATAATTAAATGGAAATACACAATTGCCACTGCAAGCAGTGGAGGGAGCAAGAGGGAGGCAGACTTCCCTCCCCCAGGGGTCAGAGCAAAGAGCATTCCTGGATCAACAACCCCCCTTTCAGACACCTTCACCAAGCCCTGCACTGGGCAATATTGGATGTTGTTCTGAGGACAGGAAATGTAAAAGAAAGAGCTGAAATCATTAAGGAAAGGGTTAAAAACTTGTGGGTTAAATAGGGATAAACCTAAATGGTTTGGGGGTTTGTTTTCTTTAAAAAAAAAAAAAAGAAAGAAAAGAAGACAGCATTAAACAAAATCCATACGAAGCTTTACAGGCCAGCAGACAATGGGCTGAACATGAGCTCTTACCTTTGAGGGTTGCAGAGAACCTATAGCAAGGTAAATCAAGCAGGCAAGCAGTAAAATCCACTGAGCAGTCGCAGACACAAGGTGCAGTGTGTTCCTAACCTGCCCTCTTTGCCAGCTCTTCCACTCATTCTCTGCAGGCTTCCTTTCCTGATCCATCTGGGTTTGGTTTCTTGGCTCTACATTTGTCTGTGCTTCCATCTCAGCTGCACTGCCAGCAACTGTTGCGGAAGGAGCCAAGAGCACAGCAGGAGTCTGGAAGAGTAGGGGGCAAATGAGCTATGTGCTCCTGTCCCAGGGACAGAGATGCAGTGAAGACAGTGCCTTCAGAAGGCTGCTTTAAGTGCACAGAGAGACAGGCGGGGAAACTTCTTTGTGACTAATCTGACTTTCCCCTTCCTTCCTTCCTTTCTTTCTTTCTTTCTTTTTTCTTTGGTGTGAATGTGGGGGCTGATTTATTGCATCCCAGTTCAGTTTTGAGTAAGGGCCTTTGAAGTAGATGTGTTTATGTCTTTCATAGCTTCAGCTGTGGAGGTCCTGATACGTGGTTCTTCCAACAATAGCAACGAGTTGGGTAAACGGTGCTTGTCTTTACTCAGTCTTTTGTCAGTAAAAGCTCTCACCTCTCTGTTCAGCCTTGAGTGGAAGGTTTACAGAGCTGGCTCCCTCCCTTGTTAGCGGTATATGATGTGGCTGAAATGTCTTTTTTCTAAAGAAGCAATGGGAAGGGATGTGGGACAGGTGGCCTGCATAAAGAATTTGAGAGAAAATATGTCCTTTCCATTTCTCCATTCCTCTTCATTTTCATCTTCTCGCTTTAAAGCCAGGGGAAGATGCATAAAGCCTAAGAGGGGAAAATGGAGAACTGCTCAGGGAACATTCTTTTCTGCATACACTGAAACCTGTAGTCCAAAGAAGGCACTTGGAGAGGACCCCCTCAGCCATCCAGGCTTCCCCCTGGAAGAGGATTGCCTGTCTCTTGCCACGCCAGCACCTCCCCCTTCACTTGGTCTCCTTGTGACATTTGCTCGTGACACATGGAGCTGCTAAATCATAGAATCACAGAATAGATAGGGTTGGAAAGGACCTTCAGATCATCAAGTTCCAACCCCCCTGCCACAGGCAGGGACACCTCACACTAAACCATGTCACCCAAGGCCTTGTCCAACCTGGCCTTGAACACAGCCAGGGATGGAGCATTCACAACCTCCCTGGGCAACCCATTCCAGTGCCTCACCACCCTAACAGGAAAGAATTTCTTCCTTATATCCAATCTAAACTTCCCCTGTTTAAGTTTGAACCCATTAGCTCTTCTCCTATCACCACAATCCCTAATGAAGAGTCCATCCCTAGCATCCCTATAGGCCCCGTTCAGATACTGGAAGGATGCTATGAGGTCTCCACCTGCAGCAGGGACCATCTCCTGGGTTGTTTTGGATGACAGGCTTTGCATCCTTTTGAGGGGCAGTCCAGCACTGCTCTTTCCATTGCTCTTTTAGCCAGATTTTTTTCTGTTGTAAATTAGCTCATCATGACTGAAGTCAGGCGCTGCCTCCTCCTGGTGAGCCCATTGGAGTGTCATTGTCTGTCTGTCTTTGAGGGATGAACTGTCAGAAAGTTTCTCTTCCCAAAAATGTGCTCTCTCAACCTGTCACAAGGCACATGTCCTGACAAGAATGTACTCTGCAAGCAGAGGAAACAAGAGTAAAGTTATTTCATGTGGTTTTCCATCTAGGCAGGGATATTTCCTATAAACATAAACCAAATGAAAGGGGGAGTACAGCAGCTGGGCAAGCAACCTGTCCTGAGGACGTCCCATGCTGGGCACCCTTGTTCTTAAAAACTAATCTTGAGTTGCTGGTAGCTGGTGAATTGAGTCAGGAACACACTCTGGTGTCTCAAGAGCAAACCAGAAGTCACAGAACCTTACTGAGGAAGGTTCAGTTTTCACATTTTCTATTGGCTCTTGAGTGTGTGGAAACTCTCACCCCACTTTCAGCAGCAGTCACTCACCAGGGCATGCTGGCCCAATAAGAGACCCCACGAATAAGCCTAACCCTCCTTAATTGTCCAGAAACATGAATGGAGCTGCAACAAAGAAAGTTTGTGCTGCCTCTGGGCAGTTCCCTCTGATTTAGAGTGTGAGTCTGGAGGCAGGAAGGACTTTGACACCTAGCAGTGCCTGGGAGCCCAAGTGGCCCTGCACCAACTTCAACATCAGCCATGCCTAAGCCCTGCAGAGGAGTGAAGCAATACCTTGGGATGCTCCAGAGTCCTGCTAAGGTTGGGGGAAAGTGGAGAAGGAGATTGTTTGCTCCAGTGGATCTACAGTGTCCTGCTATGTCTAGGTGCTTGCTTAAAAAAATCCCCAGAAAAACAATCACTCTACTCTCAGCTCTGGTGTCCAACCATAAAGGGGTTGGTGGTGTGGGGGGAGCTCACAGAGGCTCTGGAGTCAAGGAAATCTCAGATTTAGCTTCAGAGCAGCTTCCCTGTGGGCAACAGATCCAGCACTGGATCGTTCCCCCATGAATGGCGGGTCTTGGCTTCCGGCAGTGCAGATTGAAGGCAGCGGTGGCCAAGAAGCTCGGATCCAGCTCTCCCAGTGCCACAGGAAAGGTGAAATAGGCTCAGGGGGGCTGTCTGAGCTGCACAACACCTGAGCAAGTGCCTCCTCATGTCCAGAAGTCCATGCTACTATGGAGATGTGTCAGGGGAAGTGTCCCCAGACCCCCATCGCTTTGCAGTCCCACAGCTGAAGCTGCAGACAAGGAGGAGGGCTCTGCAGCCAGGGCTGCCCCATCCCTGCTATCCTACCTGTAGCAAAAGCTGCCAGCCAGTGACTGCAGAGGTAGTCAGCTGCAGGTCTGGGACAGCCCACCAACGAGCCCACCCATATTTCAGTGGGGAGCCAAACAACAAGAGCACATGGTCATTAGACCACAGCTGCCTTCCTGGAAGAGCAGCTCTGTTGAGCACAGACAGCCTGGGCTATTCTGCTCTGTGAGCTCCCTCTCTGCTCCCTCCGGAAAAGGTTTTGCCATTTGCTGCTTTGCTTGTGCAAAAATGCCAGAATGCTGAGCTAAAATGTTCCAAACTCACGTGCTCCCATAATTCTCACATTTTGAGTACATGCGTTTGGACCAGAAGCAAGCTCTCACCCATCTCCATCTCCTTCCTCCCCGACTCTGGATGTTGTACTGGTTTTGTTTCTAAAACCCTAAAAGAAATGTGGGTGGAGGTTGTGCGTATGTATTTCTGAAATTGCCTTGTCATGTCTGTACTCCGCAGTGCAAGTGTCGCTCAGCCTGTGTTAACAACCCTGGTAGCACGGAGGATTGAAAGCTACATTTCAAGTAATCTATCTAGCACTGTGTCTGAAACAGGAAAGATGACAGCTCATTCAGAGGCATCATAAACACCTATGCACAGAGTGTCTTTCGTGGTTTTAATTGTCTTCAGCTTGTTCTCCTGCCTTGAATATGAATACCCAAGTGCATGCAAATTCAGTGGCTTTACACAAGTGCTATCAAGAGCCCTTGCTCTCCCTGCTAGAGAAAAGCTTCCTGGCCTTTGGAACTGCACATACCCAGCAGCTGCCAAAATTTGCTGCATTGATCAAAATTATTTTGGTCCCTCTTTCACAGGCAGTCTAAAACTGGAGTCTCTGGGGCTTTCTTAGCCCTTTCCAGCCATCATGACATTCTTTCTAATGGTGGGACAAGGAGGCTTTGGGGCCCATGAGCCTGTTGGCACTCTGCAGCAAATACTTGGTCATCTCAGTAGTTTTCCAAAGAAATGACTCTCCATGGCACATTCAGCAGTGATATTCCAGCAAGGACTGAAGGAAACCACAGTTAGGTTGGCAGTACTGCTTGATGAGTTGTGGTTTGTTTTCTTTTACAGTGTCGCTCGCACTCTTCTGGGCTTTCACAGGCTCCATACCAGATTGTTTTAAAACCTTAGCTAAAGTGTTGGTCACAGCCAAGGCTAAATCCTGCATCTCAGATGCATCTTGGTGCCTCAGCCTGACAGTGCTCTCATGCCACAAAGCTGCTGTGCTCCAAGCGTTGGAACAGGGCAGTGACCATCCTGACCACAGACCACAGCCCCTGGCCTGTGGGGAGTGCCCCGTATGTGGGAGTCACGGGGTGGGAGCCCTTGCTGGCACCCTCCTTGATTTAGCTCCCATTTCCCAGGAAAGTATTCTCACTACCCCAAGAGAAATTGGGGAATTAGAGAGTTTAATTTTACTTCTCAGAAAGACAGTGGAACAACCTATCGAATTGTTTGTAAACATCTAGGAGGAAAAAGGAAATGAGTACCAACCAGCATGGGTTTCCAAGAACAAAAGCTGATGTCCTGTTGTGGAGCAAGAAAGCCTCTTGGGCAGAGGAGTAGCTGTGGGTACTCATTATGCCTTCAGTGATAGTTCTAACTTGCAGTTATATAGGAAGGGGAAAGAAGCTTACAAAGGCAAGATTTTTATCCAGGTCCTGCTTCTTAGCATGTGCCCCAGCTACTGCCATTTAATGTTCCAGTCCACTCCAGAAATAAAGTATTCTCTAACTATGCCAGATTTATTTATCAAAGTCAGAGCTTTTTCCTAAAATGTCTATGGGCTTCTGCTCCAATGTCTCTGAACCACGTGAACCAGGTCTCCTTAATCTCACCTCCATGTGGCTTTTTCTTGTTCCTTGCTTATAGCCACTCTTTGGCTGACTTACATATTCAAGAATTTCTGGTAGCAAAGGCACTGAGCCAGTAGAAAGGAGTTTATGTTAGTAAGGCTACTTTTGGCAGTGTAAAATAGAGATGGAAATTGTGAAAATGCTGTGAAATCACAAATAAAAATACTGAAATTCACGTGGAGCCAGGATTTTATCAGGAGATTCCAAAGCAGAAGCATTCACACTGAGATAAATTCTTCCATGCCTCATCCCAGAGTGCTGCTCTGGGATTTTAACAAGCGAGCTGTCTCATGGGAGCAGTGGGGAAAGCCGTAGATGTGTTCCCCGGGGCATACCTCCAGCAGCTGCTGATTCCTCATGGGCATGCTGTGGCTGTCACAGCCCTTGGGCCAACAGGCAGCCTTTTTCCAAGAGGACCTGATGCTGAGCTCCAGCTGACCTGGACACAGCAAAGCCAGGCAAGTTTTAAGACCTGCACGTCTGACAGCGGTGATAGCTTTTCTTGGTGCTTAGGGACTGTGGTGTGCCTAGCACCCTGGGACAGGCTAGTGGCATCAGGTACAGTAACCGAGGAAGAGCCGTGTGCTTGTTGCATGGCAGTTTTTAGCAGCAGTGTCATGGTGTTCAGCACAGCCGCCAATGTGCAGCAGTGCAGACCTCCAAGCAAACTCAAGCTGGTGTTCCCTCAGCCAGCAGCTACCACATTTCACTCTAGAGTTGTTAGGTTTCCAAAGG